TGTTCCCTTGCTTTGGTTTTCTTCTTCAAGAACTCCAATTATCCATATGATGAGTCGTCTTCGATATTTGCCACTTTCTTTTAATACTTTTTATCTCTTCATCTTTTTAATGTTTAAATATTCCTTTCATCTATTTTTCTTTCTTTCTTTCTTTTTTTTTTTGGTGGCTGGCTAAAACAAGGATCCAAACCGTGACCTTGGTGTTACCAGCAACATGCCTGTCCCAAGATAGCTAGCTACCTGGCCAGCCCCTCGCCTATTTTCTTAAGCCATTTTCTGTTGGGTCTATTTGCTCTTACATTCTAGTTTAGTTTTCATTTCTATAATGATTTTTTTCTTTTGTTTCCAGTTCTTTGAGTTCTGCCACCTCATTTCTGTTTTCTAATTCTGACTTAGGTTCTTTTATGTTTTATGTCATTTTCTTAATGTGTTTAGCTCATTTATTATATGGACATGTCTTTCTGATGTACTTTTATTATCCGTAGGGAAATTAAGCCCTTGTTTTCCACCACCTCTCTTTTTACCCTTGTATGGGATTTGACTTCAGTATGTTTCTGTTGCTCATTTTTATGTGAAATTGGTTTCTTAAATTTTTAGGTTCAAATCGTTTTTCTCACTTCATAGTACTCTTCTGTTGTTTTTGTGTATTACTTTTTTTTGAAAAATACAGTGGTTTGTCTTATAAGACTTACATCCTCTGGTTTCTTTCCTTTTTTCATCTGGACCTTCTTTTTCCTTCATTTCTGTAGTTCCTCTCCTGCTCAACTTTATTCCATTTTCAGCACTTTCTCCTTTCTATGGCTCCTGTCCTAGAAAAGAACCCTAGTTGATCATATTTGAGAATTCAGATGCTCAGACTACTCTAACCCCTTGAACTCCCTCACTCTTGGAGGGAGCAAAACCCAGCCAGTTTTACTTGCTGTTCTCAAATTGACCTACCTTACTTTCCAGGGAATATCTTTTTGCTGCTTTGTATCAGACTCCAGGAGCCATATTTCTTCCAATAAATTATTCTGCCTTCCCTGTACCCTTTCAAATTTCCTAGGCCTCATGTAATTAAAGTTGAAGGTTTCCATCTTTAAATTTCCAATAGAATCCAACTAAAACATGTATCCTGAATTGAGCCCCTTCTCTAAGCAAGCAAGGAAAGTCTCCCAATCACTCTTCGGAACTTTCCGATCCTGCTCCCTGTACACATTGTGTATTACCATGAGATTTTTTTTTTATTTTCTCATTGAAAGACAAGATGTCAGTTTTGCATGTTTTCTTTTTTTCCAGTGGAGATCCTTCAGAGTTTGATGAGTGGAAGCCTGGGAGGCACCCTTGGTCAGGCTGTCAGCAGCCCTGTGGAGCAGGAAGGCTTAGTTGGCCCTGTTTCCTTGCCCCGGAGAGCGGAGACCTTTGGAGGATTTGACAGCCATCAGATGAATGCTTCAAAAGGTACATGACTTGAACTCATGTGCTTTTACAGGCAGTTCTTGACAGTCCCACCCAACTAAAAATGGCCTATATTCTAGTAGCTCTATCTCCTCTGTCCCATTCAATCAATAAATGTTTTATTGAGATCCTAAAACACTCAAGAACCTCTGGCAGAGTCACGTTCATTTTGAGTAATAAAACAATTTTTCCTACGATCTCAGCTAAGCTATAAACAAAGGAATAATAATGCTTGTTTTTCTTTCTTCTAATTCATCTGCATCAGTGAAATTATTAATAATCATTTAGCTGCCACTAAGTGACTTCCCTTATTTTTGGCATTAATGAGGTTCAGAAATATCATATCCCTAACCTGTTCATATTATATTCTTTTCTTTGCTAGTCTGTTTCACAACTTTAAAAAACAACCACAAGTTATCTTGTTTTTTGTTTAGGAGGTGAGAAAGAAGAGGGAGATGATGGCCAGGATCTTAGGAGAACAGAATCAGACAGTGGTCTGAAAAAGGTATTTCTTTCTAAAATATACTATCTGTGAAACTCCTTGGCACTTCTCTTTCTTTGATCTTGTTTTGACTTGCTGCTTTCAATAAAATCCTACTTTATTTTCATGGGAAAGCACATTTTTAAAATAAACCGTACAATTAAGAGTTCCCACATTATTAGCTGTTTGGCCTGACTTAAAGCAATATGTTCACATTAATAAATCTACCATGGCCCTGGCAGGACCAGTTTTATTCAGAGGTTTGTTTTAACTGCACCAAACCAACCTGATCTGTTTACAAGGCTTCTGTAGTAAATAGTTCAATCTCAGATCTTCACTACATTATAGTGAGAGTATAGTAGAAAAGAAAATGGGAAGCTACAGTATAACTTAGAAGCACATTGAATATAATTTTTGCACCAGGATTTTCATTGTTTTAATGCATGTTTTTTGTTTTATAGGGTGGAAATGCTAACCTGGTATTTATGCTTAAAAGAAACAGTGAGGTAAGGTCATTATGAGCTGTTTAAAAGAATATGTGTTTCTTATCATTGTAAGATTAGGAATATTCATTTTTTGGTTTTTAGGGTTTTTTTATTGAAACATAACTGATGTTACATATTTGTGGGGTACAGAGCTGACTATCAATACCTGTGTATAATGTGTGATGATCAAGTCAGGATAATTAGCATATTCATCAATACAAAACGTAATCATTTCTTTGAAGGCATTTGATATCCTCTCTTCTAGTCAACTGATAACAGGCAGTAAATTATTGTTGATTGTAGGTGCCTAGCTTGACTGTACATCAGTAGATTTATTTTTCCTAACTAGCTGTCTTGTGTCCATTAGTCCATTTCTTGGTATCTCCCCTCCCGCTTTCCTGGCTCTAGAAATCACAGTTTTGCTCTCTCCTTCTGAAAGTTCGAAGTATTATAATTGTTGTTTGTTTGTCCCTCCCTCCCTCCC